AATGAATGGATGTAAAGACAAACACGCACACATATACTATTCTCAGAAGAAACAATGTAGTTGTGAATACGAAGATTTGGAATCAATCCATGTTAGATTTCCCAGCTCCAGCAATCACTCCTTCATAGTCAGCCTATGAATATTTCAGCCACTCTCGTACCTGAAAAGAAACAATGCAGTTATGAATAAGAAAAATTAAAATTAATGCAGCCAAGAGTTCACAGCTCTAGCGTCACTCCTTTATAGTAAGCGTATGAGCTTTTCAGCACCCCCCGTATCTTGAAAGATACAATGTAGTTATTAATAAGAAGGGTTCAGATTAATGCATGTAAGATGTCAAAACGCTAGCATCACTCCTTCATAGTCAGCCTATGACCCTTTCAGCCCACACTCGTACCTGCAAAGAAACAATGCAGTTATTAATAAGAAGATTTGAAATTGATGCATGTAAGATTTCACAGTTCTAGCATCATTCCTTCATAGTCAGCCTATGAACTTTTCAGCCGAACCCCGTACCTGAAAAGAAACAATGCAGTTATTAATAAGAAGAGTTGAAATGAATGCATGTAAGATCAAACAGCTCTAGCATCACTCCTTCATAGTCAGCCTATGAACATTTCAGCCTATCTACGTATATCGGAGTTGAGTGCCCCCGAAATTGGTCAGTTTGATTTAGTCTTACTTCTTACTCTGTGAAAAGTTGAGTTTCTTTTAAGTTGCACTGCTACACAGCCATGTTTTTATCCCAGACTAATCAAATTGGTCATCCTTCTTTATTTATTTATTTATTTATTTATCTAATTTATTTATTTATTTCTGTAATTATTTATTAAATAATTTATTTTTGACGGTCAATAATTAACCTCCATCCAAGGAAAATTCCTGAACTGCTAATCAATCACGGACAATGTTTGCATAAACATATTTGGTGATAGGTCATGTGGGGTTTGGGTGGAGATCCATCTTATATCGATAAATATTGATCTAGTAAATAGTTTTGTCGGCAAGCAGGTCCCAGGACCGATGAAATATTTAATCAGACAAGAATATAACAACGTGTGGTTTTTGTCGCCTTCGTAGACAAATGCAATTGTTCATTTAATCAGAAAGCAATAGATTCATCCTTTTGATTCGCCAGGATCGATCTCTCTGCTTATCGATTGGGTTCGATCAGCACGTATATGCATTTGTTTTGATGCGATAATTTAAATGCATTCATATCTCTCTCTCTCTCTCTTTATCTATCTATCTATCTATCTATCTATCTATCTATCTATCTATCTATCTATCTCAGTCTATCTATCTATCTATCTATCTATCTATCTATCTATCTATCTATCTATCTATCTATCTATCTATCTATCTCAATGTGTTTCTATCTATCTATCTATCTATCTATCTCAATGTGTTTCTATCTATCTATCTATCTATCTATCTATCTATCTATCTATCTATCTATCTATCTATTTGTGTCATTCATCTCTGTCTCAGTATATTTCAGTATCTATCTATCTATCTATCTATTTCAATGTGTTTCTATCTATCTATCTATCTATCTATCTATTTATTTGTGTCTGTTCGTATCTATCTATCTATCTATCTATCTATCTATCTATCTATCTATCTATCTCAGTCTGTTCATATCTATCTATCTATCTATCTATCTATTTGTGTCTGTTCGTATCTATCTATCTATCTATCTATTTGTGTCTGTTCGTATCTATCTATCTATCTATCTATCTATCTATCTATCTATCTATCTATCTCAATGTGTTTCTATCTATCTATCTATCTATCTATCTATCTATCTATTTATTTGTGTCAGTTCGTATCTATCTCAGTCTGTTCATTATCTATCTATCTATTTCAATGTGTTTCTATCTATCTATCTATCTATTTATTTGTGTCTGTTCGTATCTATCTATCTATCTATCTATCTATCTATCTATCTATCTATCTATCTATCTATCTATCTCAGTCTGTTCTATCTATCTATCTATCTATCTATCTATCTATCTATCTATCTATCTCAGTCTGTTCATATCTATCTATCTATCTATCTATCTATCTATCTATCTATCTGTGTCTGTTCGTATCTATATATCTATCTATCTATCTATTTGTGTCTGTTCGTATCTATCTATCTATCTATCTATCTATCTATCTATCTATCTATCTATCTATCTATCTATCTATTTGTGTCTGTTCGTATCTATCTATCTATCTATCTATCTATCTATCTATCTATCTATCTCACTTTGTTCATATCTCAGTGCTTTGCTCTCCATTTACATTAGTCTTTCAATTCCTCTCCATCGTCTCCCAGGCCAAAACAAACATGTTAATCCGGCAACCATTATGAATAGAAAAACCTGAGTGGTAAGCCACCGAATAAATTCATAGCAAAAAAACTTTATTTGGCGAGTGACGCCATAGGAATACAATCGACGTACAAGCCTCTCTGTCCATTTGGAATATCACATACAAATATTTATAACATAATGAAAAAAAAATTTACTAATAGATAATTTTAGGAATTGTATAATAGAAATAACAAATATATATGCTTTACTTTGAAGTAAAACTAGTTTACTGAAAATAGACTTGTATTTAACTACTAAATTCAATGGAACATTTATGTAAGGTCATTCCATAAGTTCTGTCCGAATTTTGAATAAAGAGAACAAGTGGCCAAATGTTACATTTAATTACAGATTCAATCAACAGTGTATTTTCCCTGATTATCTATGACTTCCTTCCATCTATTAACAAGCTTACTAATTCCATTACTGTAAAATTCTTTTGGCTTTGATTCGAAGAACTCACAAATGTCATTTTTAACCTCTTCCTGCGTTACAAAAGCTGTTTCTTCCAAATGATTCTGTAAGCTACAAAACAAATGGTAGTCTGAAGGAGCACGATCAGGAGAATAAGGTGGATGAGGAATTTTCTCCCAACCAAGTTCTTCGATCTTTTGTGACGTGATTCTTGCTGTGTGGGGTCGCGCATTGTCCTGATGAAACATCACCTCTTTTCGATTCACTAGAGCAGGTCTTTTTTTTCCCTCAAAGCTTGGTTCAAACGCTCTAATTGCTGACAGTATATTTGAACATTAATTGTTGAATTAGGTGGTAAGAATTCAAAGTGGATTATTCCTTGGCGATTTTGAAGAACCTTTTGCCCATGAAGTTCCCTTCTCGGCTGTGGCTAGGGTCCTTCCCCTTTACCAAGCCACTGTCTACGACGCTTAACATTTCGATAAAAGATCCATTTTTCGTGGCCAGTCACAAGTCTATCCAAAAAAGGTGAAACAAGTTGGCGAGAATGGAGAGAAGAGCAGATGTCAACTCGTGATTTGAGGTTGTTTTCAGACAATTCATGAGGCACCCATTTTCCAAGTTTAGGAACTTTTCCAAGTTGTTGAAGATGACGATAAACACTTGTATGGTTTGAACTGAGAACCACTGCCAATTCCTCAACTGATAAAGCAGGATTTTCTTCAAGGTCCGCTTCAAGAAGCTTTTCATCAAACTCAACTGGACGTCCGGTTCGATCTTCATCTTCAAGGGTGAAATCTCCACCTCTGAATTTTGCAAACCATCTTCTGCAAGATCTTTCCTTAACACATTCCTTTCCATAAACTGAGGGAATGTTTCTAGCCGCTTCGGCTGCTGAGTTTCCTTTTTTGAACTCATAAAGCATTATGTGCCTCAAATGATTCTTGGGTACTTCCATGTTAGCAGGGTTTTAATCAAACAAAATTTAATTTTATTGTTCTCTGAAATAAAATTTGATCAGTTTAAATGCATCTAAACATAAAAATAATGTTCAGCTCCATTAGACATTATAAAATACTCTTTAAATTTCGTTCATTTTAACAAAAAGTTAAAATTCGGACAGAACTTATGGAATGACCTGATACACTAGTAAAATGACTCATAATAGAACCATTTTAAAATGGACTCTTTAAAGCTCAGTTATATTACATGGACCCTCGGATTCCCTACGGACTCCTGTTGAGAACTATTGGTTTTCTTTTTGTCCATGCATTAAATTCTACTGCCACAATGTGCTTCTATTACGTATTTAGAGATTCCTGATAAAACCCAAAGAAGGATCTGCAATGCTATCTGTCCGGATGTGTCATCTTGACTTTGATCGCTTTCCCACTGCCGTAAGGTTGCATTTTTCATGATTACTTTCATGCAAATTGTTTTGATAAGTTTTCCTCTTTCGTACGTAAAATTCGTTAAATTAAGGACAACTAGATCTCTTCATGTCACTCTTAAAATTCTAAGATATAAGAGTAACGCATCTGTTTCCGGTTTTTTCTTTCGCCCTTCCGGTTTGTGGAAATCGCCTCCAGCTTCTTGCTCTTCTATCAACATTGGACTTAAAAAATGTTAAATGCAATGCCAACCATCCTCGTTCCTCTCCTTAAATCCTGTTCTTTTAGTCTCCTTTCTCTCCAATAATGTTATTCTCGTGTTCTATCACACTCAGTAACCTCTTGCGGCTTAGTGGCTTTATCACCTTGCTTAGCGTGGAATAGTTAAAAAGAGGGATCAACGACCGAAAAGTTGTCATAACAAGAAAAAACACGTGGAAAAGATTCCGTGTTTAAATTTCGTAAATTCAGGTAGAAAAGTGTTGAAACTTGACTAATGCATGGAATAATAATGCAACACAAAATGTACTTAGAACAAAATGTATTGAAGCAAGAAAGTGTACACAATATTTACATATAGTCTTTTGTATATTCTTGGGAAGACCGTTCCTGGAGAATGTGTTGACTTAGTCGCAGTCGGACAGAGTCTCTGGTTGAATCTCTTGATTCCTCCCTCTCTTCCCGGTACCAACCATATTTATATAGTCGGTACTCCATTATGCAAATTAGGTGGATCCTACCACAACAAAAAGAGAGGAAGTTGTGGAGACTCATAATCGTCTTGAAAGTATCCGACGTTAAAAAAAAAATATTGTTTGCTTTTTTTTGTGTTATGCTGCTATTTTTTAATATTGTTTATTATAACATACCTTTTCTTTATATTTTCACAGGAGCTTGTGAGGGCAATGAAAGCGACAACAATAACAACAACGCTATTGAGGCCGGTGCCACGCCCTCGCTTCGCGAAAGACGAGCGGTGGGAATGCTGAGATTGGGTCGTGGAGTGCAGATGCTGCGCTTAGGAAAGCGTGCTCCTTACGATGATCTCAAGACGATGGTGGCTACAATCCTGGGCCGTCAAGAACAGCAATTCAATCGACAGGCGCCCTTGCCCCGATACGGTAAAGAAGAAGGTCTATTAACCGATACCTATACACCCGATTCTCCCTCTCAAGTCTCCCAGCTCCTGAGAAGGTCTTATTTCGAAGATGACGACCTTTTGCCCCAACAGGCGCCTGTACCTCGTTTGGGATATCTTCAGAAGCGATCAGCTGAAATTCGTCATGCACCTCTACCCCGCTACGGGAAAGGTCCTGATTACGAAGATCTTAGTAACGAAGTGACCAGCGAAGATGGAGGCGTTGACCATGAGGATGAAAACGCTAGCGACTCAGTGAGCTCTGAAATGTTTGAGCGCCAACCTCCGCTGCCTCGTTATGGCAAGGATGAAATAGCCGGCATTGATTGTGAAGCCTACGACGAAAGCGGGAATTGCCTAAGGTTTGACGACATCGAGAAGAAAGACGTCAGAATGCTACGCATGGGGAGACAGGTAAACATGTTACGCATGGGCAAAAGAGCTCTCGGCATGCTACGCATGGGTAGAAACGGTGGTGATAAACGAGCTGTGTCCATGCTACGTCTAGGACGTAGTGACAACGTCGAAGATTCCAAACGTGCTCTGGCTATGTTGCGTCTGGGAAGATCAGGAGAAAAGCGTGCCGTCTCGATGTTGCGCCTCGGGCGTAGCGGACTGGACGAAGAAAGTATGCCAAGTGAGGAACAGAAGCGTGCCCTAGCGATGTTGCGTCTTGGACGTAGCGGTAGCGAAGAGCAGAAACGAGCTGTGTCCATGCTACGTCTCGGCCGCAGTGGAGAAGGCGACCAAAAAAGAGCTGTCTCCATGTTACGTCTCGGACGTAGCGGCCCTGAGAGTCAGAAGAGAGCAGTGTCGATGTTACGACTTGGAAGAAACTCCCCAGTCTCTGATGCAGAAAAACGTGCAGTTTCAATGTTACGTCTCGGGCGCAGTGGATCCGACGAGGAAAAGCGCGCAGTGTCAATGCTACGTCTCGGTCGTAGCGCTGAAGAAGAAGCAGACAAGAGAGCCGTGTCGATGCTTCGCCTCGGGCGCAGCGGCTCAGTAGCTGATAAACGAGCGGTCTCTATGCTACGTTTAGGACGTAGAAACCAGGGAGCCGATGCTGAAAAAAGAGCCGTTTCTATGCTACGTCTTGGGCGTAGAGATCCTGAATCAGATGAGTCTAAACGGGCGGTTTCCATGTTACGTCTTGGACGTAGCGGGCCCGAGCCGGATGAATCGAAACGAGCTGTATCTATGTTACGTCTCGGGCGTAGCGGTCCTGAAACGGAAGAGTCGAAACGAGCGGTTTCCATGTTACGCCTCGGACGTAGTGACGAAAAATTCAGTGCGGATAAGCGGGCTGTTTCCATGTTACGATTGGGCAGGAGTGATAAAATTACCGACGAGGACAAACGTGCGGTTTCAATGTTACGTCTCGGACGTAGCGACCATGTCACAGACACGAAACAAAGCTGAGTACTGTGATGTAAGACGTACTGAAAACTGCGACTACAGCCGGAAGTTCTTGTTATATCAAATTTTGCAAGAAATGCGAAGAACGGAAAGATACAATAAAAATGTTGAAATATAAAGGTTAAAATTATTCCCGTTAATATTCGAACCGCTTCAAAAAAAAAAACAATAAAGAAAAGACAAAAAATGTAAAAAAAAATATATGAATTATTGATAATTTAACAGATAATTCTTAAATATATAATTTAAAAAAAAATGTGAAAAACGTAGAATTTATGAGAAAATAACTGATATTTAGTCGAACTCATGTTTTTGGAAAAAAAAAAAATTGAAAAAAAAAATGTCTCCAAAATAGAAATTAATTAATTAAAAAAAATAAATTAAAAAAAAAAAAACAAACCCCGACACCCAACAAGAACAGAGATGTTAATGGAAAAATAATTAAGAAACAAAAAAATATATATTTAAGAAAGGTATTAAGATTTTAAATCGTATATAAGAAGAAAAAAAATCTCACTAACTAAAAAGAAAAAAAAAAGAAAGCAACTAACATCAAAAACTGATAAGCAACTACAAAAGAATTTCTGTTTGACACTTTGACATCCACAACTACTAATTTTACGGCAACTGGTATTATTATGAGAAGCAAAATAAGAAAGAAGACCGAAGAGAAAATTGTTACTGAAACACTTCATTGTTTCTTGGAAAAAAAAAAAAAAAAGTTTAAAATTACAAATATGAATTTTGATACATCTCTTGTGTTTTTCTTTATTTGCACCTGTGTTTTTTTTTCTTACATTGCATGCACATTGGTATTCAGATATAATCATCAGTGTTTCTCAGATTTAAGGGTCACATGGCTTCCCTGCAGATTTTACACTTCCTCAATTACGACACCATTTTGATATGACACCCGACAATTTGTTTTTTTTTTCATTATTATATTTATCAATTTACGATTGAAATTAATTCCGTAGCCAAAATTCTTCCACTTAGCTTTGTCTGGGTCCCGATCATTAAAACAGAAGTAGTGGTCTATTCCTTGTTTTCCCGTTTAGGATTAGGTTTCTACTTCTTTCTAAAGTCTACTTCAATTCTATACTTCTAAAGTCTTCGACTAAACTCTGAAATGTTATTTACGTATTTACTTAATTCAGTTGGAGTAGATAGGTTTTTTTTGGGTTTTTTTTGAATGGCAGAAGAGGCTTATCCTTTAATTCATATTCAGGATTATTTTTCCCGGGTCTTTTTAAAATCTTTTGAATAAAAGTAAAGGTTTATCCATTGTTTCCTGTTTAGGATTGCGTTTCCGGTTCCTGCTAAAGTCTACTACAACTCTATACTTCTAACGTCTCAGATTAATCACTGAAATATTATTTATTTTCTTTCATCAGTAGGAGTAGATAGGTTTTTTTAATAGGAGTAGAGGTTTATCCCTTGTTTCCTGTTTAGGATTGGGTTTCCGGTTCCTTTTAAAGTCTATTTCAACTCTATACTTCTAAAATCTCCACCTAAACTCTGGAATGTTATTTATTTATTTTCTTCCTTCAGTAGGAGTAGATAGGTTTTTTGAATAGGATTAGAGGTTTATCCCTTGTTTCTTCTTTAGGATTGGGTTTCCGGTTCCTTCTAAAGTCTAATTCAACTCTTTACTTCTAAGGTCACCGCCTGAACTCTGAAATTTTATTTCGAATAGATTTATGTTCTCTTTCAGTAGGAGTAGATAGGTTTTTTGTATAGGAGTAGAGGTTTATCCCTTGTTTTCCTGTTTAGGATTGGGTTTCCGGTTCCTTCTAAAGTCTACTTCATCTCTATACTTCTAACGTCTCCACCTAAGCTCTGAAATGTTATTTCGAATAGATTTATGTTTTCTTTCAGTAGGGATAGATAGGTTCGCTTGCCCCCAGTTCACCCTCCTCTTTGGCCTTTTGAACAGGAGTAGAGGTTTATCCCTTGTTTCCTGTTTACGAAGGGGTCTCCGGTTTCCTCCAAAGTCTTTTTCATTCTCTTTCTCTCCGGATAGTCTCAATGTCTCTTATGGCCTTGCTCGGTGGGGAAAGGAAATTGATTAAAATTTAAATTGCCCTGGAAGCCACGTGTCTTTCCGATTGAAACACTGACATATATATATATATATATATATATATATATATATATATATATATATATAATGAAAAACAGACCACTTTAAGGTACCATTACAATTGTAATGGTACCTTAAAATGGTCTGTTTTTCTTTAAATATTAGCTCTGTTCTTCACATTGAGCTCTCAGGTTTCATCCTCCTTGGATTTACCAATTCGGTTTACCAAGTTCTTTATAACTTATATATATATATATATATATATATATATATATATATATATATATATATATATATTTTTAGGATGTAATATGTATATATATATTTTTTATGAATATGTATATATATATATATATATATATATATATATATATATATATATATATATATATATATATAATTTTAGAATATAATAAACACCAATATCAAATCTATCACTCCAGAAGAATCCATTTAATGTTTGGAAATGCGGTATTCGAAAAGGTTGGTGTTTATTCTTTTTTCGATTTTTTGAAAGGTGCATTGAGGATTTTCCTGTTTGTTTGCCATTAGATCCGATGTGTCCTAAGCGACTCGGCTATGAAGAAACTTTGCCGATCAAGTAGAGTCTGAACAGAACCTTTAAGCGAAACCCTTCTTGTCATAGATCGCCAGAAATTATCATATCATCTCAGTATCGAATTCAAACGTAAACAAAGTAATTTTGTAAAGAAGTAATGAATTTTTATTGATAAACATGACAGATTTTTGTCACTTTAAACCTTATTTTTAGTGGATACTCATATTTAAGTAAAAGCTCCATTTATTTATTAATTTTCATCTACCGGCCGAATATATATATATATATATATATATATATATATAATTAGAAGAATATTTTCATTAAAGCATGTCTCATTAATTAATTTAGACAGGTTTTGTTTACTTCTTCTTAAAAGAATCCTGTCATATTTACGGGCGAGTTTCTTAGTAACCTTATTAAAGGAAGAAAAAAAATTACCATATTGTTGCATATTCATATGTTACGAGTTCTTTCGACATTAGCACAATGCCATCATCAGTGTCTTGCTTTTGCTAAAAAAATTGTTGTGTTCATGATTTTTCCTTTAATAAAGATACCCAGAAACTTGTCCGTAATTACGGAGAGGATCCTATTGAAACAAAGTAGACAAAACTTGTCTAAATTATTTTCACACACACACACACACACACACACACACACACACACACACACACACACACACACACATATATATATATATATATATATATATATATATATATATATATATATTATATTTTAAATTTTTTCCCTGGGAGACAGGTGCCTATTCATTTACAAAACAATAATTCTCATCGCAGTTATTTTTGCAACACATTGTTTATGTCAATCTCTCTCTTGTCTAAATTATTTTTTCACACACACACACACACACATATATATATATATATATATATATTGCGTATATTTTGGCAGCATGTTTTCATTAATGCATGTCAAATAACGCATCAAATATATATGTATGCATATATATGTGTGTGTGAGTGTTTGTGTATGTATATGTGTGCATGTATGTATATATGTTTGTGTATGTATATGTATCTATTTATGTATATGTGTGTATATATATATATATATATGTATGTGTGTGTATGTATGTGTGAGAATATATGTATATATGTGTGCATGTATGTGATTGTACGTATATGTGTGTATGTATATGTGTGCGTTTATGTATGTGTGTGTATTTGTGTGTATACGTGTGTGTGTGTCTGAAATAACTTACCAAATCCTCCCTTGTCTAAATTCGTTCGAACTATATTTGAAACCCCGCCCCGACCCGAGGGAAGTCTGATGCCTCCTTAAAACCTTACTTTTCGCCAAGTTTCACTTACATCTCAGACATACGGCAGCAATTAAATATCCAATTCCTCGGCTTACCAATCTTCTTGGACATTCCTTTGGAAATTCCTCCGCTGCAAATCACGTCTCTTTCCCGTTTGGCAAACATTAACCTACACGAAAACAGGTAATATTCCTTCGGCATATAACTTAACTTAATCTTCCCAATGCCACCTTTTTTTTTTTTTGTTAAAATATTCACTAAGGCCTAAGAGCCACTCGCGGTAGAGTATTACTGAATGACATTGTTTCGTGAGCGGCAAGATTAAGAGAGGCGAGAGGCACAATTTGTGAGGATATGTGGGAATAATAAGAGATAATCCTAGAATTAAAGCGGTTATTGCAGTGGTTGGAAGAACAGAAAAGTTTGGGAGTCGGCTCCACAAATTAGTGGCTCGTAGGAAGATGATGTTCGAGTGGAACTTGCTAATGCATTTCCTGAAAGACAGATAGATGCTGTTTGCGAATCACTGTGTTGGTTTGATTCCAGTATTTGTATATTGCAACCGAAGCCGTTGTGGTAAACCTGCAGAAGCTTTAAGAATTTACCACGGAGCTGCAGAAAGGATTAAGCATTTCAACCCAACTGTGGAGTAATGGATAGCGGCTTGGATTGAGGAATCGGAGAGCCGAGTTCCAATTCCAGTCGAATCCATTACATTTACTTACCTGCTAATACCCTTGGGAAAGGTATGAATCCTTTTCTTCTCCCCACAGGTATGGGTAAATAGCCGTACAAACCGGGTTCTCTAGCCTTGGATGGTAACTAGTCTACCGCAGAAAGAAATGGCAATCTACTGCGCGAAAAATCTGCTTCGTGAGTCTTGTATCGAAAGATACAGGTTCGCCTAAGCGTGTATCACACATTGGCACATAACTGAAATGAAGGCGATAATGCCACTAAGACGTATTTGCATACTGAGAGTGAAAGAGAATGAGAAGACGTTAGTGTGAAGGAAGGGAAATAAAAGAAATCCTGAAATCGGAAGCTGATGATTGATTTTGCATTTAAATATTTGAAGATCGTAGGCGGCAGGGAAGACATAAACCGAAAGAGAATTCCAAAGATGAGAAAAGAGACTACTTGTGTTTGTATCTAGGTAGTTCAACTGTAAAACGATGAAACGATATATATATATATATTAGAATGGCTAATAATATATATATATATATATATATATATATATATATATATATATATATATATATATATATATATAAAAAAAAAGAAGGGGGGGTGCCGCAAACGTTTTGGTTGTAATGTGGATTTATTGAAAAAATATTATACTTTGTTTTACATAATTTCACGACACGTGTTTCTGGTCTGGTCTCAAACCGTCTTCAGGTGAAAGTGGAGATTTTTACATATTATTTCTAGAAAGAAAATTCGGATTGCCAACACACAAACAGAATGTCTCATATCGAGAATATTCCACATTGAACATGAAGAAAAATTAATTATTTTTAATAATATGTAAAAATCTCCACTTTCACCTGAAGACGGTTTAGAGACAGACCAGAAACACGTGTCGTGAAATTATGTAAAACAAAGTATAATATTTTTTCTCAATAAATCCACATTACAACCAAAAACGTTTGGGCACCCTCTTCTTTTAATATACATACTTTTCTCTCGTTGGAACCACTACAACATATTTCTTTTATATATATATATATATATATATATATATATATATATATATATATATATATATATATATGAAGAAAAAATATACGGAAAAAACAAACAAAAAAATCCTTATATGCAATTATGCTGTTTCAATGTTAATATGTTAATTCTCGTACGATCACCGAAGTTAAGCAGCGTAGAGCCAGGTCAGTACTTAGATGGGGGACCGCTTGGGAACACCTGGTACTGTAAGCCCCCAAAGTCCAACCCTTACCTCACAGTCGTTGGGGGGTAAACGGTAGTGTCAGAGCTATGCCGCCCGGAACTTCGTTCCTGGTAGGGCCACCCAAGGCGGACAGGTCTGACACACGCCGGCTAACAAGGGCTCTGGTGAAAATCCAAGGAGCGTCTGCATCGGCAACCGGCGGCTTCTGGTCGTTCCTGTCTCTGCGTCTGTGGGAATCCCGCGGCAAGCAAGAACGTTATCCGAGTAGGCCTGGGTACCCTACTTCTGTAATTTATCCCAAGAATGTTCTTCTCATAACAGGAAGAAGCCGGCTCAATCCGCCCAGGGTGAATGCCGCATCAGTAATGTTAATATGTCAACGTCGGACGTTTCGGTCAAATAAAACATCTTCCGGACATATTCATAAAATATAATTAACATTATCAATTCAACATGACAAAGACGATGTACATAAGAACAAGACTTATCCAAACAGATAACTGAAAGTTTTATAAGATCAGCGTTATATTTTATGAATATGTCCTGAAGGTGGTTTATTAGATCGAAACGTCCGACGTTGACATTATATTAACATTAAAACAGCATAATTGCATATAAGGATTTTTGTTAGTTTTTCCGTATATTTTTCTTCATACTCTCTCCGGATCTATATCCATATATTTGCTTACACACACACACACACACACACACACACATATATATATATATATATATATATATATATATATATAAAACCTAGTGAGCCAGACAAACATACCTAGGTAGGTTTGTCTGGCTCCTAGGTTTATCTAGGTCTGCTCTACGGTTGTATTGAGCTCTTTTGTTAGTTGTTTACTTGTATCGGGTTTTTTTCTTTGGGCTTCAAACCTGCATCTGTGCGATTTTTTTTCGACAGACTTTCATGTTTCTAGCTCTTTTCTTTTTTTAAAACCTTTTTCCTTCAGGATTGATTTGATTATTGGCAAATCAAAAATTCGAGGATTTTTCGAAACGGGTGTATATATATATATATATATATATATATATATATATATATATATATATATATATATATATATATATATAAATGAAGAACAGGAAGATATATAATCCAGTGTTCTTATTGATTATTTTTTTTTTATTTTACAAGACAGTGCTCAATGTAAATTTACAGAGCATAAATATTATAAATTAACTGATTTAAAATATGTTTTTTTCCCTACACAGTAATAACCATATTTCAAAAATGGAAGTTAAATACTTCAAATTTAATTATCTTTAATTATACTGGAATAACTTATTTTTAAATTTACTGATGTGAGAATTCGTTGCAAACTACTCCCCTACCCCCCTAAACTTAACCTCTTTTTCGAACGTAACTCATAATTGTTACAATAATAGTTAATAAAAATGAACACGCTACCGCCCCTGTCTGAATGATTGGATTTCTCTGTGTACTTGGAAAGAGGAAATTATGAATTTTATTTGTTCGCTTAAAACTGAGTAAATTTTAAAATAATTTATTCCAATATTCGCTTGAAGATGAAACGGAACTTAATGTTTTTAATTTAATTAGATAATTAAATTTGAAGTTTTTAGCTTCCACTTTTGAAACATGGTTATTACTGTGTAGTGAAAAAAATCATATTTTAAATCTGTTAGTTTATAATACATACATATATATATATATATATATATATATATATATATATATATATATATATATATATATATATAATATATATATATATACATATATATATATATATATATATATATAATATACTAATATTCATATATAATATGCTAATGTATATATATATATATATATATATATATATATAGTAGACTGGCTGCTAATGATTTAAAAATTAACATATATATATATATATATATATATATGTGTGTGTGTGTGTGTGTGTGTGTGTGTGTGTGTGTGTGTGTGTGTGGTGTGTGTGTGTGTGTAAATTTTAAAATAATTTCACCCCAAGCAAGGCGATAATGCCAATAAGACACAAGAAGTTATTGGGTGGGGGATGTAAGAGAATGAATAAAGACTTTAGAAGGAACCGGAAACACAATCCTATAGAGGAAACAAGGGATAATCCTCTACTCCTGTTCAAAAGACCAGGGAAGAGTGTGACCCGGGCAATAGGCGAACCTATCTCCTCCTATTCAGGAAAAAATAGTAAGAATAAATTTTAATCTTTAAGAGGAGAAGTTAGAAATAAAGAGTTGAAGTAATCATTAGAAAGGGCCGACGAAACCAATCCTAAATAGGAAACGAAGGATAAACCTCTACTCCTGTTCAAAAACAGCCAAGGAGTGTGAACTATCTTCTCTTACACTTAAATTCATGCGGTCGAGGAACAAAGGAGAAGAGCAATATTTATTTTGAGACTACAAAAAGGTGGCACAAGGCTAAAAGCGGTGAAAGTGAAGGCTGGTTTTCAATCTGTTTTATCTTAACCTTAGCTAGCTACACTTACTGACCCAACCAACGACAGTATACCTTACAGCACAATAACACATTACCTCAAATTTCTTATGAAGTCCTAATTCGCGGTAGTGTGAGTGGAATTAACAAAAACCCAAAGCTTGAAAATAACGGTTCAACAGATTTTATTTCTGGTTAAAAAGAGAGTGCAAAATAGTTGTAATTTAGGGGTGAAAAAAGTGGTTGTTCTGTTAGTAATGTTCTTGACTATCGTAATTGTTTTTATTGAGAGAGATTTTTCCGCTATTTCCCACGGGTGGAACGAGAAATCCGAGTGTAAAACTACTCGGACAGTCCTCGTCTTCTGCAGCTAGGGTTGAGTGTAGTGCTTCTATAGGTTTCCCAAAGGAAGAGACCACTGAAAGTGAGAAATAGAAAAGAGAGCGAGCGTAGATAGAGGGCTGTGAATTCTGAGGTGAACGAGAGAGAGAGAGAGAGAGAGAGACCGTTGGGCGTGGATGTAGAGGCAGCTGAAATTGAATGGTGAATAAAATAATTAATTTTAAAAATGAAACCCCCAAAATATTTACAATGATTATGATTATAATTTTATGTGACAAGTAGTAGACGTCGTTAAAAAAATTTTAATTAAAATATTTATAGAACAAAAAAAAAAAAACAAAACAAAAAAACAGGGAAGCCACGTAACGGCGGTAAGAAAGTGACTGAAGTTGAGATGCCAGATTCGGACTGATAACATTGCAGAATATTCTTTGGATTTTCTCGAGAGTCTCGGAATATATTACAGAAGGTCCAGACCAGATTATGGCAGCCATATTCAATGCATGCACAAATGGTAGAATTATAAATCTGCAAGATGCATTTTCGCGCGAAATTGTGATCGAACTTTATTAGCAGCAGAACTAACAATTGATCCCTTCCCTTCATGTCACTGCATTGGTTGACTGATTCTAAGACTTACCAACCCTTTGCAGATTATGTAAAGCCAGAAAATATTTTTAGATTGTCAGAATTTTTTTTTAGATAATATTGGTTTAGCTATACAAGCCTTACAAATTAACCCATACCCGGGGGAAGAAAAGGCTTATTTCTAACTAATCAGAATTTGATAATTAAACAAGAAAATATACTGGTTATAAAGTGGGGGATCAATTCTACATTTAAATCAATATATAAAGTGAACCCTCACTTTTTGGACACTATAATTTCTGTACATTTATACCCCAGAGAATGTAAATAAATCTACAACACATTTGTAGCTAATTAGTATTTGATTGGTTGATTCGTTTTTATGGCTTCCGTTGAGGGTTATTTAAAGCCAGAAAATATTTTTAGACTGTCAGAATTTTTTTTTTCAGATAATATTGGTTTACTGATACAAGCCTTACTAATTAACCCATAGTCGAACTTGATAATCAAACAAGACACCGGTTATAAAGATGGGGATCAATTCTACACTAAAATCAATACATAAATTGAACCCTCGCTTTTTGGCCAGCTAATTTCTATACATTTATACTGCAGAGAATGTAAATAAATCCAAAAGACATGTCTGTGTGGCTAATCCCTATTTGATTGATTCGTTTTTTACGGTTTATCAACCCTTTGCAGGTTATTAGACTCGCAATGTAATCTGCTTCAAGAGAATCCAAAACTGATGGATTGATTAGATTTCTACAGTTTGTCATCCCGTTGCACTTGATGTAAATCAAAAAAAAAAAAAAAAATTTCGAGTCGGTGGGGAGATAATGATGATTTAGTAATACAAGCCAATACTAATTAACCCATATCTGGGGGCAAAAAGTGTTGGATTCATACCTATACCAAGGGTATATAAACAACCTCAACAGTCATTGGAACTGTGCCCTCTGATAAACAATTCTGAGCCATTATCCACGACATAATCCAAAGATATAAGCTTCCAAAAGGTCAACCGTCTCGGTATTGACCTGGCTCAACGTTGCTTAACTTTGGTGATCTTACGGGAACTGTTGTCTTAATGGTACTATGGTTTGCTCTCCTGGTGGTTAGCATCAGCCATTTTGAGCAATATTTATTTATTTCGTTTTTCTGTGACGTTAGCAAAAACATCCATTATTTCTATTGAATCTTGGTACATGTTTCTGGATGTGTACGCCTTGCCATTTGCAAGGCGCTAACTGTAGAGTTAGCTACATCGGCGAGACATCGTGGTTGGTGCCAAAAAATGTTGTAGCGGGCGCTGACCAGATTTGAAGTTGTAGCCAATTTCGGCATTAAATTGAACTAAGTGCTCACACTATTATCGCACAGGAACAATTTTTCTAGATTCTAGTAATTATCAAAAGGCACATTTAGAAACATACCAAACACAGGGAAGGCATAGATCCCAGTATACAAAGCTGAAATGTAGAAACCTATTTTTGTTTTTTCATTTTTGTGGCAGATCTATTTTTCGTAATCAGTGTGCATCTTTCACCTCAATAGATATTCTTCAGGCTGAGAAATTAAAAGACTTTGACCCGGTTCTTTTTAGGGGGCACTGTTTCTAAACACATCTTTTTTTCCTTTTGGATTCTCTTCATAAATCT